ACGGAACAAAAACCCACAAACACAAAGGGAAAACATACAGTTTAAATATGGCTCCCAATCAGAGACAACCAGCCAACAGCTGACACTCGTTGCCTCTGATTGGGAGTCACTCAGGCAAAACATAGAAATCAACACAACAGAATTACCAACATAGAAATACACACATAGAATGAACACACCCTGGCTCAACATAATGAGTCCCAGAGCCAGGGTGTGACACCACTGCAAACTATGTTTTCACTTCTGAAAGAAGTGAACACACCATACTACAATCTGTTGTGATATTTACTGGTACTATTTCAAATAATGACAATTCAATTGTTAGATCTATTTTATTGTTAGGAAATAGATAAGAGCAGATACTTTGATCAAGGTGACCCTTGTCTTCAGATGATGTCACATTGCATTCTTTATCATCAGCGAACATAAAAGATAACATAGGATTTTCATATTGTCCTCAACGTCTAGTTTTCACAATCAGTTGTGCATTCGTCCCTTCTAGTTATTATAATATAGTATGCCATCAAATCTTAAATTACTGCCCTACAAAGTGCAGATCTGAGAAAGAAGAAGAGTGTACTTTCTAACTGAAGATCAGTAAGTCACGCTTTTCATGTATTTCCTCTCATGTTGTCACGGAGGACTGTATGTCATAGAAGCAGAAACAGAAGAAGAACCAGTTTTCTAAGTGAAGAGCAGAAAGCCAGTGAAGGTGGTGTGCTGAGCCCGATCATCAAAGACATGGTGTCCTGCTGCAAGATGAGTACAGACTACATCTCCTTCTTCCAACTGCAGTGTGACACCATTGGAACCCCCGTCCTCTCCATCTGTTTCATCACCATCGGTCACAGTCACCATTAGATGTGTATTTTTATACAGCAACACTCTTCTGTTCTCGCTAGAGGCTGTAAAGGCAGTGTATGTGAAGTAGTAGACTCCATTAACCGGTGCTCTAAAGTTACCCGTCACCGGACTGTAAGCGTCACCAACATTGTTGAAGACATGTTTGTAGACCAGGATGACATCATCACTATTTGGTCCTTTGGATTCAGACAGCGAGGCTGAGAAGGCCACCTTCGGTCTCTCTCTGTCGTCTCCCTTCAGTTCCTCCACGGTGGCTCCCATCTCATTCAGTTTGGTACCGGTACCCCCTGTATATAGCCTCCCTACTGTTATCTTATTTTACTGTTGCTTTCTTTAATTATTTGCTTTTTTTTTTTATTTCATTGGTTCAAATGGTTGATCATCAGTCAGACGGTTGTTCGTGGGAACGTCTTCGATATTGCCCTCGTCCCCATCTTGGTAGACCTGTATAGTGTTGTCAGTTTTTGGGTTGTCACTTAGCTGAACCTGTCCGTCAGAGGCACGGCTGCAGAGGACAAACAGCAGAGCTACCACATCTTTTCAGATCGATTCTGGAATTATTTTTGGTATCAAACACCCAGACTCATTACTTATAGAGGTGAATAGTTAATAATTGACTTAATCATTTGTGGGTAATAATTAGGTGCTGACGTGGCATGTTCTGATGTTCAGCGTTCACACTGCTAATCAATTATAGATAAGATGAACTTACTTTTGTCCTGCCAGTAAATCACAGTCCAATCCTCTAGATAATAAATTAACACGCATTAGGGCTAATCAATTCATCAATATCACACTCGTTTTAATGTAATATAGGTTACTTGATCTCTATAGGGGCTGTCTTTTTTTTCTTTCATCAGCCTAGATGTAATTACTATATCTTGCCACTGGAGGGCAGCGGTTAGCCTCTACAATAGCATACTCTGCTGTTGTATTCTATGCTGGGATTGGGAACTGATTCTGGTGTCTGTCAGATAAACAGGGAAATGTTTACCTTCTCAATTTAACCAGCAGAGGGCGCCGTTAGCCCAATAACAGGAATATTGTTTCATTATAAAATTGCCTTCAATAAATAATTACTTATAATCAGGCTATTTTGACTGTCTGGTCATATAGTCCCGCAAACAAATGTAACCAATCGAGAGAGGTGTAAGGTCTGGGATGTGTTTGTGTAGGTGAAACACTAATAGTAATTCTAAAAGGATTTATCATCTTAAGTGAATTTGAAAGACATTGAAAATTAGGTGTCCTAGTAGGTGACCCAAAAACGTTCATTCATTCATTCATTCATTCATTTATCTCCACTAAAACCAACGTCAAAGGGGTCAAAGGAGTCAAGCACTGGGAAACTAATGGTCTAAGTAGACCTATTGCACCCGTATTACACATTCAAACAACATAACACTATAACAGAAGCATTAGATGTATATTGCAGGCAGTCGAGACGCTTTACAGGAGGGGAGGGGGGGATTCGGTCTAGGATGGAAGGCGACGGCGGGCGCGTGAAAAGGTGCTGGTTGGGGTGTAGGCCTAGGGGTTTGGGGAAAGATGAAAGGCGCGACGGCAGTGGCATTATCATGCAGAGACCGGTCGGAAATCGAGCAGCGTCTCTCTCGCGCCAGTCAAGGCCCTATATATGTCCACTGACTGTCTGGTCTGGTCTATGGAACGGAGCGCAGTGAAAAGGAAAGAAAGTCCAGGGGACATAGTTGGTCTACCTGCTTGGCTGGGCCCCTCTCCGTCCTGCAAGTGCCATGAGCAGAGCTTACAATGCTGTTTGTTTATTTAGTTTTCTGTGAACATAAATGGAAATGATGCTAGTTTTTTAAAAGATAGTATTCGAATGTCATAGCCTATGTTATATTTTTACACAGAGCGAAGTAAAAGTTTCCCTTTCCGAGTTGGATGTTTCTTTCTTTCATTTTTTCGGTTGTTACTGATTTCGATTCGTTTTATTGCTCCTCATAACAATACGCAACCTTTTGTAGCTATGCGCATGTGGTTCAAAATAACTATAAAGCTGAATTTTGTAGTAGTTAGGCTATGGACTATTTTATTATCAAGCACTCTGAATTGGGTTACTTTAGAAAGTGGTAGACCTTTAGATCAAAGGTACCCATTCCAGCATGGCGTTTTACTTTGTCTTTGGGAACATTTTGAAATAAGGAAAGCTCGCTTCAACACGCCTTTTCTTTAGAGGAGCTAGTCTTCAGAGCTCAGAATGTGTGGCCACCTTTATTTTCTAATCCAAAGGAGGATTAAGGTTTTCGAAGCGCTCACGTTTATTCAAACAAATCATCAAGTCGAAGTAAAAGGGGGATTTAACGCACATGAACTTTGATGGAATTGTGACATTTTCCAAAACGTTAACTCCATTAATTTATCTATTGCACACACGCACACACACACACACACACACACACACACACACACACACACACACACACACAGACACATACACACACAGCTATGTCTTACTAACTTGTGAGGACTTTCTGGGGACCAACAATGAATTCCCATTCAAAATAATTGTTTCCCTAACCCCTAAACCTAACCTTAACCCTAAACCTAACCCCTAAGCCTTTTTACAAGTGAGGACCGGCAAAGGGTTTGCTATTCTATAGTATAGTAAAACGTGGACACACACACACAGTTTTTAATACGTTTTTGTATTGGTGCCATGTCGTTTTTTAATGTTTTTGTTTTTACCAATAATGACCTTTTCTTATAAATGAAAATTATATTAGGATTAGTTTTTAATAGCTTCCTCCTGTAGCTCAGTTTGTAGAGCATGGCGTTTGCAACGCCAGGGTTGTGGGTTCGGTTCCCACGGGGGGGCCAGTATGAAAAATGTACGCACTCACTAACTGTAAGTCGCTCTGGATAAGAGCGTCTGCCAAATAACTAAAATGTAAAATGTAAAAAGCCTTATTAGATTTGCTTAAATTGGGTTCAGAGGTACAACTGGTATTCTAGTAACAGCACAATGCACATTTTACACACTGGAAAGGGGCTTGACTGTTGGCATGGTGCTCTTCAGTGCGCAACTAATGCAGAATCAGATTTGAGTCACAGATATGACTGTTTGCTATGTACACTGCTGTCTCTCTCTCTACTCATTTGGTCTGTTCCCATTCCTATGACACCCCGGTGGTCTCTGCCTTGCGCAATGACCCCCACCCCCTTTTTTTTTTTTTTTTACAATGCTGCTGCTCGCTGTTTATTATCTATGCATAGTCACTTTACCCCTGCCTACATGTACATATTACCTCAATTTTCTCGACTAACCTGTACCCCCGTACAATGACTCGGTACCGGTACCCCCTGTATATAGCCCCGTTATTGATATTTTATTGTGTAACTTATATTTAATTTTTTTTACTTTAGTTTATTTAGTAAATATTTTCTTAACTCTTATTTTCTTAAAACGGTATTGTTGGTTAAGGGCATTTCACGGTAAGGTCTACATCTGTAGTATTCGGCGCATGTGACAAATATCATTTGATTTGATTTGACATGAGCGGTGTTCCCCGCAGGCGTCCGTCCCTCCCCTCCGCCCGTAAAACAAGGGGGCGAAGAGGGGGAGGAGAAGAGGTGGAGAGAGGGATGAGGAGGTAGTCAGTGTTTAGAGTGTAAACTTACAAAGTAGATCAGATCGAGGCAAGGAATGAACACTTGCTCAATTTTTTTCATAAATAGCCTTGTCTTTTTAATATTCTCGGAAATACCAGTATAAAACCTGTATTTTATCGTATCAACTACATTTTCCACGTCATCTGAACGTTTCATGGACTGTGTTTTTTTTTTTTTTTTACTTTAGTCCTCATCAGAACGCACATCTGATGGGTCTGTCTCCTTACTAAACGCATCGTAGCCTATAGATCCTAATGCGTAAAATCAGGTTTTCTTACTTGTACACATTTTACGCATGACTGGGAATTAGGACTAGGCGCTCGGAACAGAGTTTAGACAAAGCTACAAGTCAATAAAGTGTTGTGGACAATGCGCAGGACACCTTATCTCCACGGAATCGGATATTGACTCTTGGTTGTCTCAGCATCGTCATCTCTGTGAACCCAGGCAGGAACCCCCCACAGCGGATTACAGAGTGTGTTTTTGATCTGTCTTTTTCACAGAGGGGCACTTCTTTCCCGTTTGGGTGTTTGTTGGCGGTGGTGGTGGCACAAGGGGTCATGGAGACCAGGACTAGCCGAAGACCGTGTAGCAGCGCCGAGCAACACTTACTGCTGGCGGTCGCGCTCATCGCATGCAGCTCACAACTACTGGTGGACGCCAACTCCTGGTTGTAAGTGTTGAACTTTTTTCATGTCAAATTAACTCTGTATAGTTTCTATATCGTTGCTTACTTATTAGTTAATGCGTAATTGATTCATTAATTGACAGATGGCGGGTTTTGTGATTGGGTTTTGAGAGAATGTCCGTGTGTTGTCTTGTGTTGTGTTGTGGTGTCGTGTGTTCTGTTGTGTCTTGGAGGGGAGCAGTGGGAGAACAAATGTGGTGACTTTGTCACAATATTTACCCATGCTACGCACAAATGGCCAAGCTGTTTGTGGAATGGGGGGAAACAGGGGAACTCCACAGAGTGGAACACCGCATCTTGACCTTGTGCGGAGAGCTTGCTGCCAAACTTTCCACTGATGGAGAACATTCCAATCATATTCCTCATCATCTGACATCGATACAGTAGATCATTATTTAATTGTTAATAAGCATTGATCGTATGCGACCTATGTGATATTTACCTGCCTTTTTTCCACAGTAGAATATACTATGTTTTCCTTTATATTTATTATATTTGTATTGAATTAATTCACATTTGCCATTATTGCCAATTTGATCACTTTATATGACATCTTGAAACAGCGAATCTTTGATTGAAGCTTAATAGGCTAAAATACTTGCTATTTACGCCTCATCCGGACACTATAATAAACATTTATTTTCTCAACACTGTAAATAACCACCAACCTCATATTTCCCATCCATGCATGTAGGTCGTTAGCGATGAACCCTATCCAGAGACCGGAGATGTACATCATCGGGGCCCAGCCTCTGTGCAGCCAGCTTACGGGGCTCTCCCAGGGGCAGAGGAAGCTGTGCCAGCTCTACCAGGACCATATGGTTTACATAGGCGAGGGGGCCAAGACGGGCATCAATGAGTGCCAATACCAGTTCAGACATCGGCGGTGGAACTGTAGCACGGTGGATAATGCATCCGTGTTCGGACGCGTCATGCAGATAGGTAAGCAAGTCACGTGGTGGGATTGGGCTATAGGCTGGGTCAGGGCGTTAGTGA